GAGCAAATTAGGAACGAGGACTCAAACACCCCAAAACCCCAAAACCCCAAAACCCCAAGAGAGCAATGATAATAGATATTGGGAGGATATTAAGCAATTTAAAAATTATGAATATTATTAGCTCACCATCCCACAAGTCTTGACAAAATAATGTCGAATTAGGGGTTGTCAGATCTGATCTTATCAATGATTTCTTCGATTATAGCGTTCTAGGTTCTGGCGTCCTCTAGACTTTTGAATGCTTATTCTTCTCTCATAGTAGATCTGAATTTATCTATAAATTTAATAAATCAACCTTTATAATTACTAGTTGCAACCTCGTCATAACGCTTTGAAAGGTTTTAGAATTTCATTACATCGAACTGATTCTTGCTCTTATCAAGCTTGGTTGCTAGTAGTTCAATTTGAACTTTCTGATTATTCTCTTCGTAGTTAGTGCTGTCATTTCTTGCCTATTCAATTTCATCATTAACTTGTTCAAGCTCCTTAAGTCTTTATTCAATGGTGGTGTCAAGTTGCATTGTGTTCTCAGTAGTGTGTCTGAGTGTTTGCTTAAGATTTGCGATTTATCTTGAAAGCTTACCCTGAGAAGCTATAGAATTCATAAAATTTGATAGTAAAACTTACACTTGTCCTGAGCATTTTTCTTTTCTACCTTTGGTAGGTACTTTAACTGAATAGTTTCTCTCTTGAATACTGCTCTTTCCATATCTTTGATCATTTGCTCTTATTTCTTTCTCAATTATTCATATCTTAGTTCCATTCTATGAATTTCCTTCTTCATGGCAACAATCTCAGTTTGACCAATGTTTGGATCTAAAGCATCTTACATTTCTTTCTCAAGTTGTATTTTTCTTTCCCAGAGTAGGATTTGTCTCTCGGCCTCAACAATTTCTGCAAGAATATCAGCCTTCTCTTCTTTCAAGGTGGCAATTGAATTTTCAAGCTTGATTGACTCATTTTCAAGTTCCTTAAGCTTTTGCTTGAATTCATTCTCAATGTTGAAATTGTCATTAGTCATCTTAGTCTGCTGAGCTGTATTTTTATAGTAGAGATCATTTAACTTATTCATTTCAAAGTCAAGATTCTTAAGTGCGACTTCAAGTTGTCTAATGTCTTTCTCATAAGATTGGACACTGTTGTTTAATCTCAATTTCTTTTGCTCAAGAATAGTCTTAGATGTTCTTAGGTCGTCACAAGCTTTATTTAGATTTGAGAGAGTGTTTTATTGCTCGATAAGTTCAGTTTAATTGGCAATCCATTCCTTCTAGATCTGAGTGATGTTCTCTTCCATTTCATTGATTTCCTTTTCAATATTATTCTTTTTCGCTTCAAGTGGGCCAGAGTTCTCGTCTTCACCGTTCTTTGAAAGCTCAGCAAGTTATCTGTTCAATCTATCAACCTTGTGCTGCTTCTTTGCAATTTTAACGTGTCTTTGCTTAATTTCAGTTTCAAATCTTTCAACTTCTCTTTCCTTCTCTTTTAACTCACTAATCAAATCATTTAGTTTCTTTTAAAGTAATTCATTTTAGGACTGAGTGTTAAGGTTATCAATTCTGACTCTTGAGATTTCATTTGAGATATCTTCTATTTCTACTTCTTTCTTAGAGATGTTTTCATATGCAACCTTTGTTTATTTCATCAAGTTAGCTGAACTCTTTTCGATAGTTTTTTATTGAGATGCGTGATTGAGGATATCATCTCTGATAGCCTTTGTTTTGGTATGAAGTTGCATAATAGATTTCTCAAGAACCTACATCTTATCATCTACATTGTTCTTTTCAACTTCCATTCTTTGAGACTCACTCTCTGTGGAATTCAAAGAGTTCTTAAGCATGATGTATTGTTCATTGAGTCTCTTTTTTTCATTTTCAATTTCATCCTTTCTTGCCTTAAGGAAATCTTATTCTGACTTGCATTTTTGTAACTTATCATGGAGTTTCTCAGAGATTTCCTGCTCCTTTCTAGTTTCATTGCTAACACCAGTAATCTCACTTTGAACTTGAAGAATTTCATCATTCTTTTATTTGATTAGTTCTCTGATAGCTTAGAGGGCCTTATCTCTTTATTGCATACCAAAGAGTGACTTTTGCCAATCCTCAAGCAAAGTCTTTTTACTCATGATGATCTTCTCAATTTCTATTGCAGCTTCCTTAAGAGTGTTTCTAGCAGCAGCAGTTTCCTCTTTTTAAGAGATAAGCTGAGCTTGATATAAAGTTTTTTGTTCATTGAGTCTCTTAATCTCCTCATTCATGGTATCAATCAAGAGATCTTGCTTCTTCTTGGACTTCTCAAGATTGACTACATTCTCTTCAGCTCTGTAAGTGGTTCTTCTGATGATTGAGATTTCAGACTTCATAACTTCATTGTACTCCTCAACTTGCTTTAGAGTTCTATTAAGCTGATTCAACTCCTCTTAAGCCTTCAACACTCTTTTAAGTTGCTCATCAGCCTCCTCTTTCTTTTGTTCATACTGCTTTTAAAGTATCTCATGCTATTTCTCAGCATCCATTCTGTACTTTTATACAATGTTGTAGTTGTCATGAGTTCTCTCAAAAGTTGTTTGCATTTTAGCAAGTTAATGCTGAACGCCATACAACTGAACACCAGTCTCTTCTCTCTTTTTTTTTATTTTCCTTACTTCTTCTTCCTATTTCACAGTTATTAATATTGTAACTTCTTAAAAATCTCACCTTTTCTCTGAGTTGCAAGTCGATTCTTTCGTGCTCGTCTGTCAATTACTTAGTCAAGGCATTTTGCAATCTTTGCATGAGAGGCTATAAAAGAGATAAAGTTAAATATTGATGTCCTGGTTCATTTTATTGATTTGATTACATGGTCTGCAGGCAAGTATCCTATATCTCCAGCATCATCGAAATATTGATCGACATCTGGGTCGTCTCCGCCGTCATTGCCTCCATTGTTTCCATTCATGTCTTGGCCATCGCCCATTCCATCGCCCATATTTCCATCGAAATCTTCGTTTCCGTATTCGTTATTGTTGCCTCCGTCCATTGGCTGACCGTCGTCGTTCATTTGAATTATTTCTTCCTTTTTATTTATTTAATTAATTTAAATTAACTTAATTACCATTACTCAGTCGATTACTAATTTATGGGGTTTTGGGGTTTTGGGGTTTTGGGG